CGTCCTACTGTTCTTCTCTGACTGGGTTAATGAAGACGGGCATACGCCATGCAGTGTACTATGAGGGGAATTTTGCCCGGGCAGCGGCACTATGGCCTAGTCTTATATCGAATTCCAACTGCCAAGGTATCTTTTACGTGCACGCCAATGTGTGCACGGGACCTCGTTTTTTCGTCTTATCCGAACGACTAAACAGCTGTCCTTGTCAGGCCCTCCGTCCTGGACCACTGGCAAAGGGAAACTACGCCGGAAAATCCCGATGAACTTTCCCGGCCAACCAGACAGGGAGTGAATGGCCGAATGGTTAGCACGTGCGCGCTGTATCATAAGGTCTGTCATTGAGTCAACTGGCGTGGTTTCGATTCCACGGCTGTACGTGACAAGGAGTAGGATCGCCTGTCCAACCTCGTGGGTTTTCTCCGGGTCCTCCGGTTTCCTCCCACTGCTAAAGACCCCTACGCTCAAGCGAATTATTGAAATAAAATTCAACCGAAATGACCTAGTTTGTGTGGAGTGGACGTTTGCCCCCCCCCTCTCTCTCTCTCTCTCTCTCTCTCTCTCTCTCTCTCTCTCTATCTCTCTCTCTCCAAATCAGAAAAGTATTAATATGATTATTAATTTCATTATTATCATCATCATTTCATTATTTTATCTGTAAAGATTAGATAATGTTTGAAAGTGTTACATTCATATAAATGTATGTTGGCATTATGATTGTGTGAGATAAGTTATTAATAATATTCAACAAAAAAATTTTTTATTATTATTATTATTGTTTTGTTTTTGTTGTTGTTTTTATTTGTTGTTTTTTTGTTTATTTGTTTGTTTTGTTTCTTTGGGGTTTTTTTTATTTATTTTTTTTTTTTTTTTTTTGGGGGGGGGGGGGGGGGGTAGCATGTAAACAAATGTTTAGTCGTGCACCTGACAAGTATACCCAACCGTTGTTGGTTTTTGTATGAGGAATATAAAGCATGAATATTTTTTATCTGTTATTCCTAGGTTTTTGGTCTCGTCTCAAACCAAATGTTAATTCTAAACGATTTTTTTCAAAATGAGGTATGCACGGCATAATTAATTGAGACAAAGCAGGCAACAGTAAGGGTAGAGAATAATAATGAAAAGCCCATTAAAATCCCTCAATTAATTTTTAAAGTACAGATTTTAAGTGTATCACCTAACAAAACAGGTGCCCTCCTCCCCCACCATGATGCCCTAAGCACGTGCTTAATTGTTAATCTCCAGCCTGTTATGAATAAATGTACCCTGATCATTGTTATTTAATCATTAAAACTTACAAATTGTGTTCTAGAATATATTTTTTTCGGGTAGGCTGATTGTCTTGAGATAATAATGTATGATTTGCAGGTATGTGAAGATGAGTTCCCGTCTGTTTATTTTTATGTTTGTGCATGAATAAGAAGATTATTGATTTGAAAATCCTTACTGGTATTGACTGCTCTGATGTGGAGATTCAGTTCTGCAGTTCGATATATTTCTTAATGAAATATCAAACCTCATGAAAAAATATCACTAAATTGAACGTTTTATTTTCAGGATCTTACATGCACTAATACCGTACGTCCTTAATACGCTCGGGGGGTTGGATGGCCGAATGGTTAGCACGTGCGTGCTGTATCATAAGACCTGTCATTGAGTCAACTGGCGTGGTTTCGAATCCCCGGTTGTACGTGGCAAGGAGTAGGGTCCGCCTGTCCAACCTCGTGGGTTTTCCCCGGGTCCTCTGGTTTCCTCCCACCACTAAAGACCCCTACGCGCAAGCGAATTATTGAAATAAAAATTAAAAAATATGTTAGTCCCGAAATGACCTTGTTTGTGTCGAGTGGACGTTAAACCCCATTTCTCTCTCTCTCTCCCTTAATGCGCTCATCACTTCAACCGTGATACAACTGGTACGGTAATAGTTTCAACCACGTTTCTTTACGGTTGCAATGTATGAACATTTCATCATACAAAAGAATGAGGGGTTTTTTATTTTGATATTTTCTCTGTTTTTCTCTATGTGGCTCCGGGGAAATTTCCTATGCCGTTTGTGTAAGGTCCGTTTTATTGTTTTTGAGTAATATTCAAATAACTGATGTTGACATTTTCGTTAGTTTATTAGTAATAGCTAAGCGGAAGAAAGGAAAATTACAGATATTCTTATATATTTCGACCTCCACCTTAAATTTCCTTTTCAATGTACAAAATAGTTAAAATATTTCATTTATTAACCTTCTGAATCAGTTATGTAGCTTATAATTCAGAATGTCGAAATTGGCTAAATTTAGATAATATTATTATATATAGTTATTGTACATTTGTATAGCGCACAACTTCCACGACCAAGTGTTCGTGTGAGATTTACAAAATATGGTACATAAATTATACAAATAGAATCAATAAGCTACAAAACAAATAAGACAGGTAAGCACTGAAACCAACTATAATCTGGATTTCATTAATCATGCATAAACTATCATTAGTCTGTTTACATTAAAATGATGTATTACCGAGGACAAGTGTTCAAGAATAAGTGGGGTTTTTCAAAGTTTTCTTAAGTAAGCCCATCGGGTAACAGGTTCTAGTTGTTTTAGGTAGTTTGTTCCAGGGAAGGGGTTGAACAAAAAATGAACAACTACCAAATAAACATAAGTTTGGAGTTTTGGGATTTCATTTTGGAACATTAACTTAAAGGGGCCCAGACAAACACGAGAGACAGGTTTTTTTTAAGCATTTATAAGTAAGAAGGGGTATTTTGAACTTAAATCTAAAGGAATTGTGTAACTGTGTAACCAATGTAGACCATACAATATCGGAGTACATGTAATATGAGATGCATTTTTGGTTTGAGTTGCTAACCTATAAGCTGAAGAATTTTGCACTTATTGAATTGTGTTGTTTTCTCAAGAACATCTGATAACGGTTTTTGTTGAGCTCTTGGTTATGCGCCATATTATTTTAATTCTTTTATATTATACTCATTTGCCTCGAGCTAATTGAGGGGGGGGGGGATTTTCAACAACATTTTTACTTCTCGGCTAAAGTCGCATTTCACATTGACGTGAACCCTTGATAAGTTATGCAGAAAATAAGGACATTAAATTCCATTTCGTTCCATTTCTCAACATTTTCAAGGGTTCTTTTACGTGTACGCCAATGTGTATACCGGACCTCATTTTTTCATATTATCCGAACGGCTATGCGTTTGTCCTTGCCGGGCCCTTGGTCGTAACCATTGATAGGGGGGTGGGGGTGCATGTACCAATGTTTGATGCAAATGTAGGCATCAACATCTTACAGACTATGTCCTTTAACCCCTTCGGTCAAAGGCTTGGAATCTCATTATTATAATATTGAAACCGCCATATTGAATATTATTCTGGAGAAATTGGTATGGAAAACGCAGTTATATATTTAACAGCGTGTAGAAAATTGTCGAAGGTTCGGGAATCAAAATCGCAAATTATAGGGCGTAAGAATGGGGTTATCGTTTTACGGGGAATGCCCAACATCGACCTATGTCATTTTGGCCGCAAAGATCGCTATTGTCAAATGTCATTACTATAGCCAAATGTCGTCACTATGAACAGGTAGCTAAGTATAGACAATTTACTCAATGGGCATTTTTTTTAGATGATACAACAATAATGGGTTAAAACCATGAGAGGGAGGGGGGGGGGATAAGTTACCGTAACATCCACGGAACACAGTCAGGTCATTTCGGAATTTCGGTATATAATATGTTTATTTCAATAAATTCATAAATGCAAAGCGAGTACACATTTATATAACTAACGTGTCGTACCACAGAGCCATTTTTAAAGCATGGTTATGAATCTATAAATACGAAATATCGTGATGCATTTGCAAACAATAAAAGTATAGTAAATCATACAAAGCAGTGATATCGATATAAATATATTTATAAAATATACATCTAAAAAATACTAGTATATATAAACAAATTTACCATATCAACAATTTTATCAGTTTAAACGAGAATAAACTATCGGCAAATTTTCTAGTAGAAACAAATTTTTAATGTAGGAACAAATGTATAAACAAATAAAGTACAAAAATTAGGAAATATGTCCTCCGTATTGACTATAGTATTATAAACATTATGATATATTGTAACACACATTTACTGTTATAAATTCGTGTTAACATAGATACATTCACTAATATCTCCCAGATATAAAAATTAAATAACATCATAATTATATAATTTAAATCAAATGGCAAATTACACAATAGTGTTTACAGATAAACACACAAGCTACTAAATATTAGTAGCTATATGTTACACCCATAAAACGGGTTTACAAATGGTAACGGAATGAATAAAGAACAAAATCAATATATTTGATTTTATTAACTTTTTATCATTCTGGATATCAGAAGGTGACAATAAAATGTCTCTCCGAAAGCATTCGTGGTAAAGTGCTCTGCTCAAAACACACCCAATATGGTCCATAGAAAACGATCTGAATTTTTACAACCGTAGAGTACATCGCCCAATGTAAAATAATTTCGTAATGTTAACATGAGTACCTCATGTGATAATTCATATGTATAAATCTTTGGATTCCAGAAATAGTATAATATAATAAAACATAATATAAATTAACACACAAAAGTAAATAAATAGATACAAAAGCTTTAAAAATTGTTCTTTAGATATCTGAGGTGATAATTCATACCTATGAATCTTTGGATTTCACAAATAGTACAATAAAATAAAACATAATATAAAATAACACACTCAAATAAATAATAAATAAATAAATAATAGTAAAGCTTTAAAAAATAATTGTTATACACTTATCATATAAATAAAATATATTTTAAAAAATAAAAAACTGTAGTACACCTTTTGTTAAAATGGATTATTAAATTTAAAACTTCTCGGCTTTTATCTATTTGGTAATTTTTTCCAAATCGCTTAGAGAGTATAATCGTTTGGGAATACAACATCGACCAAACTTGGAAGACCCGCCCTTACGAATAATGTAAAACGCTGAACGTATTATTTTACTGCAATGCAAATATGGACCATGTTTTTTATTCGTTTTACCTCTTTTTCCTCTTTTACCTCCTTTTCCTCTTTTTAATCCTTTTATCTTACAATTGTCCAAGACTCTCAACACATTATCTATGGTACATTTGACATCCCTTAAAACTAAGGCACCATAAAGACAGGTCTCCTTAATGAGTGCTTTCGGAACATTGCCTTGTCGGTAGCACGGCTCTTTTCTCTTTCTTGAAGAAAGATTTAACATCGACATCACTAGTGCCCATCTTTCATTGAATATTTTGGCCTTCCTAGACAGAGTCTGGAATGTGTTTGTTTCGTTATCCATAACGGTGGCCACATTTAACTGGAACGATGCGGCAGTCATAAGCCATTGTATTTCTGATGCTACTCGTGCCTGGAAAAACAAATAACATCTTTGTCAAATACTGTCACGGTAATATGGCGACGGTATTGTATTCTCGCTCCATAACTAATCGGGGGCCACGGTGGCTCAGTGAGTACGACGTTGTTTCGCTAACCTTGAGTTTCCGTGTTCGATACTACCTTGGCCGAGAAAGTTCATCACGATTTTCCGGCGTGGTTCCCCCATGTCAGTGGTGCAGGACAAAATAGCATATAGTTGTTCAGATGGGACAAAAAACCGAGGTCCCGTTTATACATCGGTGTACACGCAAAATAATACTTTGCAGTTGGAATTCGATATAAGCATTGGTCGTAGCGCCGCTGTCCTGGAAAAATTTCCCTCATAGAACACTGTATGGCGTATGCCCGTGTTCAATCGGAGCATCAGTAGGACGTTAAACCCCATTTTATTATACGCCCACATGGAAATGTGGACGTATATTGCCCTCGCCTCCGCCCGTCCGTCGTCCACAATTTCCTGTGAACGCTCTAACGTCCAAACTTTTAAAATTGATATATGTTGTTTACATTAGTGAGATGAAGAAGCCTATTTAATTTTAATAATTTCTGTTAATTATTTCTAGAGTTATGACCCTTGTTTCACTTTGTTGCACCCTGTGAACGCTCTAATATCCAAAGTTATCTGCTTATTTGTATGTAATTTATATACGTTATTTAGATTAGTTAAAAGGAGAATCCTATTGAATTTCAGCAATTTCCATTAATTTACATTTAGAGTTATGGCCCTTTTTTCACTTTATTGAACCTTGTGAACAGTCTAACACCAGAAGTTATCATTCAATCATCGTGAAATTTATATGCATCATTTAGATCACGAAGCCTATTGAATTTCAGCAATTTACAATGATTCTCTCTTGAGTTATGGCCCTTGTTTCACTTTGTTCAACCTTGCTAATGCTCCATTGATGAAAGTTATCATCCGATATGTATGAATTTATATGCATCATTTCAATTTGTGAAACGAAGGTCTATTGAATTTCAGCAATTTCCGTCAGTTATTTCTTGAGTTGTGGATCTTGTTTTACTTTGTGAACCATGTGAACGTTTGAATGACAAAAGTTGTCATCCGATCTATATGAAATTTATATGCATTATTTACATTTGTAAAACGAAAAAGCCTGTCAAATTTCAAAATTTTCTGTAAATTACTTCCCGTGTTTCCGTTTGTAGAACTTTGTGAACCCCTAAACGACAAAAATTACAATCTGATCTGTATGAAATTGTCTTGTAAATGCCCCCAATTACTTACAAAAGAATAAATATACGACAACCTTTGGCGACCGTCGGACGATTTAGCTGCTGTGGGCGTATGCGTCATTGTCTGGCAACCTATCTGTTCATGTCATTTCATAACTAATCGAAATAACACCAGATCAACCAAATTTAATACTTTATTTTGATCTAGATCAAAGGGGTTTAGTTCCTTTAAAAAAATATAAATAAATCTTTCACTCACTTTTCGTTTTCTCGGCAGTTTTAATTTCTTTGTGTGTCTTTTGGTTTTATAAAAATCTTCAAGACCTCTATTTTGTATAAGTGAATGTTGACTGCCGCATCTTATATCCTATGGAAGAAAAGAAAACATTTCATATCTAATTTTGGGATGAAACGATGCTACATGTATAATCTGGTGAAAATTGTAATCTTTGGACTTTATTCCCTCCATCGCAAATCAAAATAGTTTATTTAGTACACATAAACAAATGAATGTTCAAATTCATCATCAGAATACATGATTGTACGATTCGGACCGCCTTATTTTATTTATCTACGGTTCAGATGATAGAAAATGTATTTCAACGGAAACGTTCAACGTTATTCACTAACTAATTCAATGTGCATCCCTATTGAAGTTTCAGAGCCAATTGATTAAAATACAGATCTATATTTCGTTTCTTTTTTTTATACTTTCGATGGCCTGCACTTACATGATCTGACAAGTTGTACTGGAAGGTCGTGTCGTACGAGCGACTTTTGACCCTATGACTTCAGACATTGATTAATCAATCAGCGTTGACGGTTCTAGTGGTTAACCCACAGTTCCGTGTTCCGTACATGGCACGCCAAGAAGTCGCCGTAACAGACCGTTTCATTTGCTAATCACTCACTTCAACCAAAACGCTGGTAATATAACAACTCTTCCAGATCCTAGTTTAGTAAAGACAAGTAAAACGAAATTTTGAACTATAAAAAACGAAACGAAATAGGATCTCCGTTTTAATCACATTGTTTCAGAGCAAAAAGGTTTGCAAGTTTGTGCTAGGTCGTGTTTGATAGATACAAATCATTATTATCTGTTCATTTTCTTTCTGGGGATTGGATGACCGAATGGTTAGCACGTGCGCGCTGTATCATACGGTCTGTCATTGAGTCAACTGGCGTGGTTTCGATTTCCCGGTTTTACGTGACAAGGAGTAGGGTCGCCTGTCCAACCTCGTGGGTTTTCTCCGGGTCCCCCGGTTTCCTCCCACTGTTAAAGACCCCTACACAGACGCGAATTATTGAAATAAAATTGAACCATGTGTTAGTCCCGAAATGACCTAGTCTATATCGATTGGACGTTATAAACAGTCAGATCTCTAGACTACAACTCAATCGTACTTATAAATACTCCCCATGCAGTAGACTTACGTGGTTCTTTTGACTGTCTTCTAAAAGCTCTTTAAAGTCCCGCAGGTAATTTATAACGTTGTGTATAGTTTTGTTGCTTGGCTGGAGATGTAGACAACTTGGCACCCTTTTTTTGGCACAGAAGTCTACTTCCACAGACTTACTAGTCACATGCAATATTAGGTGTAATAACAACACACCCACCACTGTTATATTCTCTATAACTAAAAGAAACAAAGTTTATTAAAGCTATATCGATATTTTAAAGAGGTCTTATCACTTTCAACAAAAAAAAGCAATTAAATTAATATTATGTAATATGAATTTCAAATTAACCATGGGCTAACTTAAAGGAGCTAAGTCGCTAATATTTGGGATTTAGAAATTGACACAAATGTTGCAACGCATATAATAATGTAATATGAATGTATATAAACTGATTTACATTCAATCGTTTCCGTTTTTACCCTAATTTCAAATCAGTTATGTTCGGCGAAATACGCCCGAAGTCTCAATCAATGGCAATCTCTAGCGTCTGGTTATTCCAGTCTACACTGATAGTATTTATTGCGCTTGCTCTCCAGGTAAGAATATAACGTCATCATTTGAAATGACTTGTGGGATATGTCTAGCCACGTTCTTCGAGTTCCGTGTTACAAATGGCGCTGAAACGCATTATGGTACACGATTCGTGTACCAATGGAAAAATGTATATTTTGTCTTAAATATTGGATATCAGAAGCTTATCTTTTCCCGGTAAGATCACAACATCAATGTTGATTTAAATTGACCAATAATTTGTGTTTTCAATGTCGAAGACTTTGGATGATATTGAGTTAGCTACTTTAAGTCTAAGATAGTCACTTAAATATACGTAAGTTAAGAGTAAGTGGTATTCAAATGCAATGTTTAGCATCAAACTTTCCCTTAAAGTTAAGCTACCTTAAAGATACATTATGGGAGATTAGATAAAGAGCTGACAAAACTAAATAACGTAAAGGGAATTTGCTGAAAATTTCAGTCAAATTGATCCACTCCGAACCGAGAGTTTAGCGATTGCATATTGGGGCTAGCCTCGATCATCATTACTAAAGTAGGTAGGATTAAAAAAAAATAGTCTCGATTATCCATTTTTTGATTTAATTATGAATGGAAGTCAAACAGCAAATCGGAACCTAATCCAATAAACATCACAGGCTAGCGATGCCATCGAGAATTGATTATGGTCTGGATAAGTTAATTAATGTCTACTTAATAATTTAGATAACATTTCAGGCCTAAAGAAAGACCTGTAATAGGCAGATTTAGCTCTTGCATAATGTATGTTTAACTGTAAGTGTTTAGTCTTTTAGTGTTATTTAAAGGCCAGTTTAAGTGTGAAATATTCATTAACTTTAAGTAAAGTTAAGTGAAATTATAATATGACTTCTTTTAACCGATGTACACAATTTAGTGGCAAGCCCATTACGACAATCGTAAAAGTATGGGGACTGAGATTGAAACAAAGACAATCTTGCCGAGCGTAGCTGCCCTCAAATATTTTTTCATCGTCAGGTTACTACCACCGAGATGATCAAGGATACTTGTTTCTGATCATTTATCGTGTTTGTATTGCCTAATCATGTTTTCCACGACTGTCGCATAATAAAGTTTGATGTGTTAAATTCATTTGTAAAATTTGACATTGTGATGGCATTTAATTGTAAAAATAATTATACAACCGCGTGAAGCAAGGCATGCCCATTCCCGTTATACATATTTAAAGTTAGCTGCGGATGGGCAGTAGTGTTGATTGCAAAATGTTCTTGTCGTTTATATACATTTACAAATAATATATGATGCTGACCGGAGGCTGTTACCAATGTTTTACAATTAATTTCTTGTATTATTTATTGCGTTTTAAACGGTGGTATTTTATTCAGGTAGAAAATAACGCCACGTGCATTTATACTGTGATGTACAGTCGATGGCAAGCCTTTGGCATTCTAAAGTGGAGGCACTGGCAGAATTTCTGCAAATGACACAAGTGATAGATTGATAAACAACACTGAATGATTTGTTCATTCTAACTTAAAAGCAAAAGGGTCTTTCGTATGGGTAAGAAGCGGGTGTTGTTTTCGTTACACAGTGTTAAAATAATTAAGTTGACTATGTGACATTATACACCAAATATTCGAGAATTGGCATTTAAATCTATTAAAATTGAAATTAAAATTAAAACCTACCAGAACAGCTGTTCCTGTTCGGATGTGTGGTCATAATATTTTCACGTGTTGTCATATAATATTTCCCTAGCAGTGACTAAGATTTTAATAGAGAAGTGATGCTCTTAAGGGGACATAAATTGCCTTCCAGCACGGACAAAACTGAGGGGTATATGCAATAGACTATAAACAAAAGTAAGCGTGATATGCGAATGTATGTTTTTAGTTTTACAGGGTAAATTTTATTTGGACACTTTCCATTTTCCAAGCTTTGAATAAGTAACATGCGTTTGTTGAATAATCCCGAATTAGTTTCCTATTTATCTGTATTGTCCACATATCTAATATAGGTACTAGTATATCATTAATGGAGGAATTAGTGTCGGATTATTGTATCATATCGATGATTCTCGAGCCACCTGGAATAAATATAATCGTCACGTTGCTTTTTATAAGGTTGTCGTCAACTGTTTACGATTGTAAAAGAGGCTGTTGAAATAGGGTTTAACCAATCGGACTTTAGAAATCGGGCACCCGCCATACAGTGTACTGTGATGGAAATTTTAGCCGGACAGCGGCGCTATGGTCTACTCTTATTTTGATTTCTAACGTGCTGCCAGTGGTATGTGACCTCGGTATGTATTCCAGATGCCAGATTCTCCACCCTGCACTACTATCAACGAGAAAAAACCAGACTGGAAAATATCGAAGAGCTTGCTCGGTAAACACCGGGATCGAATCCGGAACCCCTACCCACCCAGCCACAATCTGTATAATTTTTTTTTTTTGAATGATCACAACATGTAGGTATCGTTCAACGTCAGAAAACAAGACATTGATGAATAAACCATTAAGATCTCAGACTCCACATGAATTACACCTTTCAAAGGGTTTATTGTTAAGACCCATGATCCGCGTTAAATAAAACTGAAATTTACAAAACAAATGTAATATAGAGTAATGCTGAAACTTATAAATGTCTTTAAAAGCCTTAAAATACTGTATATATATATACCCTTTTAATTTTTTTATAAAATTCAAGTTGGAAACCACCTCCATATACTTTTATCGCCCCCATAGTTAATCAATAAATTGGAAAAAGACTATAGCCTCTTTCAACCAGTAACAATAAACACTATTCTTTTCGATAATCGAGACTAGATGAAAACCCGATAGGCTATATTTAGAATGTGACCCCCGTGTGTAATAGGTAAGTTAAATCCGGTACAAAACATATGAAACTATATTTAAATAAATATAAATAGTTACATCACTTATTACTACAGGTTTTCTTATTAGATAATCATAAACACCAATTTTAGATTTTAAATTTGAATTTTATGCTCTAAAATCATTTTTTAAATATATCATTTTCAAATACGAGGACATATTTATAAAGTTTGGAATTAGTCACATTAGTGACACTATTCGTAATCTTGGATTTTAGATTCTAATATTATACACGGGGGAGCAACGATGACTTAGTGTGTGAGGCACTCGCTCACTAACGCATAGGAAGGTCCGGGATCGGGGTCCGATCCCGGTGTTGGTCGAACAAATTCCTCGGAATATTCCAACTTGGTTTCCCCTTGTCAGTTGTGCAGGACGGTGGGCATCAATTACCAAAAATGAACACCCCTATAAAGATAAAGAGCTGGCTGTTCGTGCTATAACATGTCGCCTTTATGTCTAAGCGTAAATCATCAGAATGTCATCATGGGGACGTCAAGTAAGTGATCATCAGAAAATATTGTTAGTGATTATCAAACTTAATCTAAGAGATAATCAAAACTTCATTATCTGAACGTGTGAGCTCATCTGAAAGTTATGAGTTTGATCATTTGATCAACTGAACGTCATCTGTTTGATCATCTGAAAGTGGTCACTAGAACGTCGTCTTGTAGTGCGGGCGAACCGTGCCACCCAGAAACAAAGACAAGCCCTTAGAGAAACCCGTGGATAATACACCGAGATTGCAAGCACCAACCTACAAAAGTATTATTAAATCAACTGAATGGACCCGCACACTACTCTGTAGTCCTCGACCTTTAGTGATACTGGTTTCACTCAAAATGAAAACAAAATTACAACAAAATGGAATATTCCCCAACATTGTTTGATTCTAGTGTATGTGGTGATATTTAGAATGTTTAGTACATTGAAGAAAACGGTCAATAAATATTGTTTTAATAGCAATGAAGTAAAGGCCCAACAATGACCTTTTGCTAGTAAACGATAGGGTTTGAAACATTATGAGCGTTTGAAAAGGTGTGAGTGCATTAAATACAAATTTCAAAAAACAGAAAACCGGGCACTAAATACAAGCAATGCAAATAGTGCTACTTGACTTGACAGCGATCGTCTGCCAAATGAAGTCCCTCGTGTCTTTAAAGTCACCACCTGAGCTTGATGGAAGTTTTCATAGAACGTCATATACGTGTTCAGCCAGAAAGTCCAAACTGATCCGCGGTAAATATTCGCTTGACCGTCAATATCACTCACAGGGGTGACATCGGGGCAAGTTAATTAGCCATAGATATTAACTTTTTTTCTTCTGCAAATTAAATTCTAAGAAAAAAATTGTGTTTTAAACATATCTGGATAAAATGGGTACATAGGGCAGTACACGGGGGCGTAATATAAGTAAAAGGTGCAAATTCTGTCTGGACCAGTTTGTGTTAATACGTCCGATGTAAACAACGCATTTGTTTCTTTTGAAAATCGGGTAGTCAATGGTGATTTGTGGCGCATATCTGGCCCTTAGGGCCGCCACTAATGATGTTTGTTGATTAAATATAGTAAATCTCTATCCAAACAACACGTCCATCCCTTAGTTTTGTTTAATTTAGGAAAATAGCTTTCTGGTACATTGACATTAAATATCGACACATATCAATACACAAGTCACGCCATTAATTGGTCATTTGAAGTTAGACACATTTTGGATGTTAGTA